TCTACTTATACAAGTTTCACCCTTCCGAGAGATTCCAGGTGTCTATACCAGATGATGATATGTCAATCCAGGTTACAGTCTGACCAACTTTCAGTCGAAACCCTAACCCTAAAGGATGTGCAGAATTGCTCGCTTGCGTGGAGGCTACCGGTCCTGCCGGTCATGTCGATTCAGGTCCAAATAGTGAAGGCTTACATGTATCGTGTTAGTGTGGCATAAACTTTTAACTTCAAGTCTTCTGAAGACAAAATATATATATATATATATACATTTACAGTGAACCATCAATATGGAAAGTTTAAAAATACTAAAAATATAAAATAAAACTATTGCTTTATCATGAATAATAATACTATATACATAGTAAAAATAAATTGATGAAATTATTTACAATTACCAAAAAACATTACTAACAAATATTTTTAAAAAATTTATAAAAATTTCAAAATAAATTATCACTATCATTGCTGATAATGAAAAATAAATCAAATCAATGCAAATGATAAATGCCTTGTGACCAAAGGTCTTCCAACATGCATGAAAAAATTGTATAAGAAGAACATTTGGTTTTCTTTGAAGTTGCAAAGACAAATGCAATTACAAAGTCAAACCATATGTATATCACACTTCATTTGGTTTTTGCCAATTCGAAATCTGTAAATACATAAAACATTTTATTTCCATGTAATTATTATGTGTTACAATTGTATGTTGTTCTCTTTCAAATAATTGGTTCTATTCTAACCTATTTATGTACAAATGACCATTTTAATTTTGTTTTTCAAAATATCATTAAAAAATGTTTTCATTTATTATTATGATGTGAAATACTTAAAATAAGAATAAATTTATAATTCCTTGCTTTAAATGAGAATATATAGCTTGGGTTTGAATGTATTGGTGCTGTTGTAAATAACTCTTATAGCATCTTGTAAGCTTCCACAATTTTATCATCTTTTGTGGTTTTTTTTTTTTTTGGCTTTTTTGGCTTTTTTGGCTTTTTTTTTGGCTTTTTTAATAACCTTTTAAAACAACATTATGTGACTTTAAATGGTAAAGGTTTTATCTTACCTATGATAGATAATTTCTATTAGTTTCAAAGAAAAATCTCATAATTTAACTTAATGTTGATAAATCGAGTATTCTTTTAATTTTTGAACGAAAAATAAATTAACAAGTTTATGCAATAATCTAACTCATTTCTTAATATAAGATTTAATAATTTTGGTTATGATTTTGAATGTTGAACGAAAACTTTATTGATATGTTTTTTATCATATTTATATTATTTATTAATTATATCTATAATAAGTGGCGATTAAGTAAAGTAGAAAATGCATTTTGCATTGTTAATGTATTGGATTTTTTGTAGCTCAACAGCATAATAAAATATTAATAATGTTATGATTTCTTAACATTATTCTTTTTGCGGTTTTACATTAAATTAATTGTAATGAATACTTTCTATTTGATATTTTATGATCACTAATTAGTACACTTGGTTGTGTAACACAAACTTTCAACATTACCTTTCTTTGAGCTTCTCATGTAGCCTCTTCAGCTTCCAAACATTTAAAATACACCTTTTCTATTTTTTGCTTTTTCTTCAACTGAATTTTTCAATTCATTTTTTAAAAGAAAAAATCTTATACCACATTGATGTGTGTTTACATTCTATATTATAAACTATTAAAGTCTGCAAATTTAAGTTTCAAAGAATTTTAAATGTTACTAAAGTTAACACATATTGTTCAATTTGTTGCAAACACTTCTAGTTGTTTCATTTTATTTTATTTTTGGCATCATTTTATGTTGCTAGACATCATATATCAAGGATTGTAGCAAGTATTTCGAAAACTTCTTTTATCAAAAAGATTAGTTTTTGTTTTTTTTGTTTAGTTTTTGTTTTTTTTATTAAACAAATCTGTATCATTGATTTTTTATAATTATTGTATGAAAAAAATAAAATATCTTTGTATTTATTTCAATATACATAAAAAATGTAAAACAAATTGCAAACTAGTGATATCCATCTGAATGGTTGCTACTATGACTAGCCATTTGTTACTTTTAATAAACTGTTGTAACTAATTAATGTTGTATCAAAAGCTTTGATTTATTTTTATTTTTATGGAAATAATGTGCTTTAATATAATACTTGCATGATGGATTAATTATTGTACACATTTCTTCTATTAAGTTAGTACATTAAATTAAATTGCATCAACTTATATTATATCATCTTGACCTTACGTATGAATACTTGTGCTGCTATAAATTGTCCATGCAGTAATTCAATATGTACCATTGCAAGTAAACTATTTTTCCTATCATTTTTAATTTAAAGTTAAAAAATCGTATCTAAAAAGACTACATGTGATAGTTTTTTTTTAAAAAATTAACAACAATTATGTCAATCAAGTCATATCAAATTGCATTTTTTTCTAATACAAATCAAAAACCACCAAAATTTCAGAATATCTCAAAATAAAAGAACAAACAATAAATCCATAATTTAAAAATATATAAATATATATATTTGGCTAAAATACACTCAAACCTTAGTAAAAATTGCATGTAAAAATAAAAACATGTTGCATCAAAACTACTTTAATACCTTTTGTCGCAAGGTCAACAAATTCCTCATCCAATGAATGTTGATAAAATGACCCATGACCTATATTTTAAGTGCATCCAATCAACATCTCAAGAAAGTGGGATTTTACATAAATTTTCTCACATGGGTTTGGCAATCTTCTCTTCAAACATGTTGTGCTCAACGAATGAAGCTGAAGAATAACAATAATATTTCTCCTCCTTTTATCGCGACTGAATTGATTTTCTCCTGAAACAACACACGTTTGCTTCCCACCTGCATTTTAAGATCTGTCCCTTATTTCATGTTTCGATCGGAATGGTTCAACTCGAGATAATGTAACCCCAAAACTTCTTTCCAAGGATCCACTGAACTGCTCGAAAAACCCACGATTCCTTGTCATTGTTAGCTTGGAAATGTTCCGACTTCGGTGAAACTCCCCTCGCCCCATCCTTCGAAATTATTTATTCCTCGAAATGAGATCAATTACGCATGTTGAAATGAAGGAATAGACTAAGAAATGACTTGGAGTTTCCTCTGAAAACGGAGCTCCACAGTGTACACAATATGGAGCTCTGACTGCGCCTGTTGACGGTCTCCGATCATTTGGGTGCAATTGGGATCGATTCGCAATCGCAAGCTTCGGCCCGAACATGCACAAGTCCACGATCGGAAGGGAAATCTCCACCACCATTTATGGCCTGTCGTGGTGCTCTTCCGAGTCGGTGGGATCAGACGGCGTCAGTGCCGGTGATCGGCCACCGTGAGGAAGCGATGTGTTTCACCGTGGTTGACAGAATCATTCGTCATTTTCTCCAATTCGTGATTTGTCTCCATTGGTTTATCCCGATGACGTGTTTTATGTAAGAGAGACAATTTGTTTCATCGACATAACTGGTTGTATCTCTCAAAAGTGAAGCAAAAGCTGAGTTATGCAGCTATTCCTAGTGCATTAAGAGAACCATTGTTTACAGATTCACATGCCCTTAACAGCACATATGATTCACTTCTACCTCAAAAAAGATATCACACTGGCTTTCAAAATTAACTAGTTTTTTGCATATTTTCTATGACAACGGCATGGGTTCAACTAGTATTAATTATAAATTAACATGTAAAACTCATACTTTGTACTATATTAAAATATGGATATAATTTCAATTAGCATGGATCAAATTTACATTTGGATTGTTATGATGCTTGCGAGTACCATTGTAAAATCCAAAGTATTTTATAAATCCAAAGTGTTATTTTTATATTATGTAGATCTGCTTAATAATATTAGTAAAATTCAACAATTATATGTTTGAAATTTACATAGGTGGGTCTTTGTGGGATTTTCTTTTTCTTTTTTTCATTTTGAATTATATTGTTTGCAAATGCGAATTTGACTCATAATTGCAAATGGAATAATACCAAGAATAAGAAACATTATCCAACAATTTAAAATTATGTTGTTGCTCAAAATGTTTTTAGTGCAATATGAGTCTTTTAATTCTTAGAAAATAACATAATTTAATGAAAATATCTATTTTTAGTATTTGTGAATGAATACAAAATTATAAATATATATATTCAATACCAAACTTAACTTAATAGTATATGGAAAATAAACATTTAAATTTAAAAATACATATGATTACAATTGCTTCTTATTGGAATCTTACAACAACATCTTTAAGTATATACTATATGTATAAGAATTTCATTAGTCGTAATACTTGTAGTTATTATAAATTTATGATATAAACATCTATTTAGTAATTTATCAAATACTATGATTTATTTTTAAAAATATTTTTAAAGATCAACATGAAATATGTTTACTAAGTATGTCAAAGAATAAGAATTTGATTGATTTGTACAATACTTAGATTTAATTAAGGAAATTAAAGATGTAGATACTAGGAATAATTATCCATCAATTACATTTTAAATTTAAATTCAATATTTTTTTAAAAAATACCAATATAAAAAATTAAAATCTAATAAAATAAAAAATAGAATTTAAAATTGATTATCATAGCTTTGTACTTTTAATTATCTTTTTATTAATAAAATTACAAATTTTGTGCTTTCATCTTAATGATATGGTTTTATTTTTGTCAATACTTTTTTATGTTTACTATTGGTTCAAGGTTATAAAACATAATTACAAAACATCATTTATTTATTTCTTTTTCTTAATCCACCTCTTCCCATGCAACAAAACAATATGGAACAAACCGAAATGCCACATTTTGACATATTTCAAATTCCTAGATTTCTATAACCTAAGATCCACGGGAATAGGTCCTCCGAAGTGAGGAAGGACCTAAAACAGAGAGAGGGGAGGCAAGCGCATGAAGCCGTGTGATGTGGCTCCCATTACCAAACAAGTACAAACGGGGGGGAGTAGAATTTTTTTTGGAGCTTCACTTTTGTTTGAAGTCCGATTTTAGGGTTTGAAGACGAGGCACCGTGGGACGCAAAATTGAGTCTCCTTCTCTTCATATTTTTATTTATTTTTCCACCGAAACAAACCACGGGGGAAGTGGAGTTGCAATATTTGCCAATAGTTGGAGGATTTTTAAAGCCGGGGCAAACGTAGATAGACAGATAGAAATGCCGCCAATGTGAAGAAAGCAAAATTTGAGGGTCGAGAACTTCGTGTTCTTCATCTTCGTCTTCATTTTCGTCGTCGTCGTCCCACCTGGTCTTCTTCTTCGTTCATCGTCTCACCGGACGTTCTGGTGATGGTGGGAATTCGTTGATTTCATCAACATAGTCGTCTGTAGCGGGAGGTTTGAATCTCGGCTACCGCGTCGAAGGAGCAGTTCACTCTGTCGATCAAGGTGATTTATTGTTGTTTTTTCTTGCTGCATTTGACATCAGCTGTTTTGGGTTGGTTTCCAATGTGAGCGATACCCTGGGAAGCAGTGAATGTGGGTTACAACCCTAGAGGTTTGTGGGACTGGAGTGGGGGAGAGTTTGGATTGAAGCGCGCGTTGTAGTGGGCGTGGAAATGGATAGTTTATTGGTTGTACATGATGATCTAGCTGGGAGATTGCGGGATTTTGTGTTGTGGTGATGGGGAGCCGGAAAAATGGGTGGGTAGGTTGTTCCGTGTGAGGAATAGGCCGATGCTTGTCATGCTAAGCAGCAATGTCAATAATTGTGGGGTCTGTGGTTGATTCGAATGCAGATTGGTGATGAGTTCAATCGATCTTGCTCAGTCAACTGTAAGTTCTGCACTGTAATTGTCATGATTAGCGGTGTAAAATGGCGCTAAGTCCAAATGTGTACGTTGTCAATTACTGTTACCGAGACTTCGCAGCTCAGTTAAAATGTAGTTTTTAGATGTCGCGCGTTTTGTCTCGTCCTTCACTATTGGGTCTCAGTTACGCTTCCACCCAAAGCTGATGTTTTGCATGGAATTTTGGTGGATTGGCTTCAGCCTCTCGAAACTGTGTTGACAGACGTGAATGCGGAGTGAAAATTTTGGATGTGAGTGAGTTGCGGGGAGCTCTTTTTATGGTATAAGACGAGCTATGCGGAGTAACGTGAGTCACAGCTGAGGTTTACTATGGAGGTTTCTGATACTCTGGTCGTGGCAACTGAAGATGCACCGTCTCATCTGGCCTTCGAGAGTTCAGTCCCTGCTGGCGCTAGTGCTTCAGATTCAGCGTGAGTTTTCCCGAGTCACCGTGTACAATTATACCATTAGTTGCACAAGTTTCTGTCACCACCATTTTGCTTCCATAATCATCCCAGCGCAACCCATTTTCCGGTGGAATTTTTTAAGGTGCTTCAAATTGGAATTGTTCTCAGGGAGCAAGAAGTAGCTTCAGCAATACCATCTACTTCAGCAGCAGCTGATATCAAGAAGGTGACATGGGAAGTAGCTACCGTAGCAAGTGAGATGGAAGATGGAGGTGTTGGGAAAGATGGAATTGAATCTAAAGATGGCGATCAGTCTGCTGTTGAAGGCTCTGATGAAGATAACAATAGGAGCAGTGTTGGCAACGTCACCTTTAATGCTGAGGCTGACGATGGGGAGAAGGGTGAGGATGTAGATGGTGCTGAAGATGGTGACGCTGAGGAATCCAGTTCGGCTGATGAGGGGAAAGATGCAGAATATGAAGATGGCGATGATTCCTCATTATCTGATGATGACAGTAGTCTTAACGTAGAGGTGGATATTTATCTCTAGTTCATTTCAACGTACATGTCTTTCATCAAATTAACGTATTTCTTACGGGTTGCATTAGGTGTTGGCTGAGCTGTTGAATTTTTGAAGAAAGGTCGTAATTCAAAATGTAACAAAGATAGTAGAAACGGGCTTCAATCCAATTGTTGTTGTTGTTGTTGTTTTTTTTTTTAATACGCGTAGGTAGGATCGTTTCATCTTAACCGGAAAGCTGCTATTGGATTCTTTAGTTTTTGCAACTTGTAAAGTCAAGTGACCTACTCACGGCATGATTTGATTGTTTAATTTTTCAGGTTACTTACACAGATGAGGATATTCAAAATTTGCTCGATGATTTTTTTCAAGCTGAGCATGAGGTATTACTTGCCGGCAAGTGTTTTTTGAACACTTTTATTTGCTCGTGACGATTTCTTGTTGGGCTGACGCCTTTAATTTTTAGTTTTAGAAATGTGCTCTTATCGTTTCAGATTGTACAGAGTTGTTTTCGTTCTTTTCAGTTGCAGGAATCTTAGACCAATGTTCATTGCTCGCAATTTATGCTTGACCAGGCTATTGAAGCACAGGAGAAACTCGAGGATGAATCACTGGAGGCGATGAGAAAGGAGGTTTCTTCCGAACTTGCGGAAACTAAATCTGGACCTGAGGTCTAATCGTTTCCCTTCAATTTTAATATAGCATTTCTATCCATTCTTATAGCTAAATTTTTATGATATACAAATTGATTTAATATCAAGGCTTTTCTTTTAATAATTTCTATCAATTATGCAAAGAATTTTTGTGGCGATTTTGTACATCTAGTTCACCTGCAGAGTGGGATGCAGAATTTTGATGAATGCTCCCACACACATTCGAAGTTACTAAAGAATGGTTAATGAAGTACAAGATGTTTCTATTTTTGTGTTTGTACATAAGTCATAAGTTAGCTATTAATCAAATTTCGATTCAGTTACATCTGATTGTCCTTTTAAACTGTACGGTTTTTAAGAAATAATTTAACAAGTATTGACCAACATTTGTATTTTCAGTTGGAGGCAGCCATTGAGGAGGAAATGGAAACCTATATCGAAATTTGCAAGGATCAGCTCGCCGAACTGGAGGACCAGATTGCGCTTTTGCAGGTTATCCTGATTTGATCCTTCCTTATCTATCTTTTGTAGGTGCATGGAGATGTGTTTGTCGGATTACTTCCGTGTCTTCCTTTCTCGTGGAAAACACATTGCATTTCTTCACATTCATTCATGCATTGGACCTAATCTTGCTTCTCAAAGATGCTGATGAATATTGTATGGACTGTTTATGATTCACAAATTCCCAGGAGAAATTAGAAGACGCTGGTCAGGATTTGCCGCAGCTGTACAAATTGCTGGAGAAACAGCTCCCCGAGTTGTGCACAACAGAGACCTGGAGGAAGAGAACGCATTGGGTGGGCTTAGCGCCCACTCCTGAAGCTTTTGAGGTTGTTCAGAAGGCTGAATTAGACTTGAAAGAGAAGCGGCCAGTGAGAAGGTGCACACTCCTATCTAATACTTTCTTTTGAAACTGGGTGTATGCAACTCTTGGTGTTTACATTAGGATCAGCCTGTTAAAGTGTGTTACAATACATTATGTCGATTTGCAAGATCATTTTGGTTGCATTTCAGGCTTGTGTGGGGAACATGCTAAGGATTTTTTATGTACAGGCATCATGGAAGGATTCAGGACGAGGGGGCCAGTGGATTTTTAGTCAAAAAAGTTGAATCCAAAACCGAATCGGATGTTGCACCAGAGGATGCGTGGTCATTATATGACGTCTTAGACAAAGAAGAAGACAATCCAGGTCCTGGTTCTCTTATGGGGACTGCGAAATGGGCTAGTGTCTATCTCGCTTCTACACCTGAGCAAGCGGCATTAATGGGACTGGCTCTGCCTGGAGCAGATACTGTATGTTATTCAAACTTTTTGACATCCACTCCTTATCTGATTAAAATTTCATAATATTAGTACCTTCTAATGTTATTCCAGGGTTTGATTACTGTTTCTCTTTCAGAATGCTCTCGAATGGTCGGATTTGAGTTTGTTCTGTCAGCATCTTTGCATGAGTGATGCATTTGAACGTTTGCTGTCCGTCTCGACATGGGATGTGGTGGTTCTTTGGTTGCTCACTAATATTTTAAGTATTCCAGGTGGAAGAAATAGGTGATTTGGATGAGAACAAAAGTAAACTTTTTAGAGAAGCTTTGGCAAACGAGGGACAACAAAGTTCTGCAGGACCGCAGAAAATAATTGTGAAAAAGGTTGCATTTTGATCAGGATTCCTATGCAATTGAAGTTTGCATGTGTGTTCAACACGGAGCTAAATTTTTGGTGAACGTGGTTTAGTTTAAAGCTCATAAGTCAGTGAATCACCTTGTTAATATCTATCCGAAAATGCATAGAATAAACATGATCGTGCAACTAGTTGCTACACCAATATTCATATACTTTGGGTGTACATTTGCTGTGTTATACAACAATTCTTTTCTGAAGTGGTTGCCATCTACAGTTCCGTTGCTACTATTGCCTCTGTACATGAGAACTTATTCAATGACTTTTATGGGTGCTGGGCAATGTGGTTTTTAAAGCATATTATATATTTGAGTTACGTATCTGAGCAACTTTTCTCAATGATATCTAGGTTCGTGAAGCCGATGATGTGAAGAAAACAAAGAAGTTGCAAAGAAAACAGCCCCCTCGAAGACCAAGGAAACGGCTTATTCAGCAGCAGAAAAAGGTGGAAGGTGTAATTCCTGCCGGAGTGCTTTCTCGGGGACAAAATGGATCTCTACCTGAGGAGCTGATACCTGGAGTCACAGAGAAGTCACATCAGGGTCTAAACTCTGAATTTGAAGTCGGTGTTGAAACTGAGCCATTGAATGAATCTCCTCCAATTATTACGAACTCGACCGGTAAGTTTCTGCAGTACACTTATATTGCGGTTTCTTCTCATAAATATTTCAGAAGTTTCTCGCTGCTATTCTTCTTGTTGAAATGCTCTATCACATATCTAGTTGTTCAGTTACTTCATATGCACTCCCTCGGTTATTTCTGGCACGAATCCCAGACGAGATTTGAGGAAATCTTAGACTTGAGTTTAAGCGGTTCATGGAAACTGTTGTCAAAGGTAAACGCATGAATGGCTTCAATTTCATTTTCTTAGATGGTCGGGGACATGGCTACGGTTTTGTGTAGTGTTTAGGACCTTTCCAGATTAAATATATCCTAAGGTTCACTTGACTGAACTAGATAACCCTCAAGCGAATGCTGTGTTTGTGCGTGTATTCTTCTGAATCAAAAAAATTGAAGTGTCTAGGAGGCAGTAAATTTTGTGCTGTTATGTTGCTTTTGGACAGTTCTTCAGCAGGGATCAGTTGCAGGTTTACAATGAGTGCAACTCTGTTGTTATTCGGATGTCTCTTTCGAATGTAATTGATGTTGTGTCCCGAGCGATGTTTCTGCTCCTTGACACGAATGTGGCTTGCTTTCATTTCTCTGATCCGCTCGTTTATAAAAATCAGGGGGAAATGAGAACGAGAAAGGCATACCAGTAATGATCGTGGACAGGGATGGTGTGGTGCATTTTGGAGAGTCTCAGGCTTCTTATTTGAACAATGGAGGCGTTCTATCTGAACCATCCAATCAGCTGAAGCGACGTTTGACACCTGCAGGTATTTTTGAAGACTTCTTTTGCCATTATCGGTTTTAGTCGCAGTCACTGGAATGTAAAATGCATTCTATCTTGATTTATTGGCTGTGTGTTCCGATTGTTCTTAAGTTTTTTAGTTATGTTAAGTGGGTGGATAATATTAGCTGATGGACGTTGATCATGAATGTAGACCTGCAGTCGTGTTGACCAACACATGTAACTGGAATCTAATGTTGAAACTTGTCTAATTGTGCATTTTCTGCTCACTCTCTGTAGGCATCGCAACTTCAACTCCAGGTGCTTTTTCTTATCATATTTGTTTATGCTCTAAACTCCGGTTTCTTCTGACCGTTTTTCGCAGAGATTGATGGAGATCCAAATGACACCAAGAGGAGGAAAACTGTGGTCATGATTGATAGCGATGACGAACGTGAGGTTGAGGAGTCCGCACCTAGAGACAAGCCTCTGCAGGACGATGTTCATATGAAAGAGAATGACGAAGATTTATCAAAAAATTCAGCGGAAGTTGTAGTTGTTGGAAGCAGAAAGAACAGCTCGCAAATTGTTCAATTGGAGAATATGCAATCTGGAGTTTGGTACCTTTCAAGTCCAAAGGTACTTAAGTTGATTGTCTCTACAAAGCTGACGTGTTGAATAGAGGCACACGTGCGGGTTATGTGGTAAAACTGGCATTGTGGATAACCTCCGCATGGTGATTGTGCTTCCTAACTTGAAACTTTTGTATTTTGAATGCATGTAAATGATCGTTTTTTTGGGAGGTTTGCAGGGCGAAGAAAATTACTCTGAGAGTGGATTACTGAAGCCCAACACTAGAAGGCGACAAAGTACTGGAAAATACTACTCGGATGCCGAGCCTCGCAACTTTTCATGTACTGCTTGTGGGATGCTTCTAAGGAACCGAGATGTTATGAAACATCCAACCTTGGATGTGGGCATTTGTAGAAAGTGCAAAAACTTCTTATTCAGCGGACCATTCAACAAGGTTTATTGCCTTATATTTTCAGTGTTCAATTTCAGAAGAGCCTGTTTATCTTGGTTTTCAATTAACTACAGATGTTTCAGATTATTGTACTTCCACCTTAATCATCATGTAGAGTCTATATAGGCGTGTGCCTTGGTATAATTAGAATTTTAACGGCGGGACATCTGCAGGACCAAGATGGACATGAAGATGAATGCCGTTGGTGTGGACAAGGTGGTGATGTCTTGTGTTGCGAATCCTGTGACAAAGTGTTCTGCTGTCCTTGTATTAAGCGTAATTTGGGCGAGGAAGGTCTTGATCAGATTGTCAATAGTTCGGATTGGAAGTGCTTTTTCTGTAATAAACAGCCCTTACACAATCTGCGTCAGCAATATCAAGCTGTGAAAGATGCTCTAAAGACTCAGCTGCTTTTACAAGACAGCGAGGATGGACTTTGGAATGACAAGATCACCAGTAACAAAAAAAGGTTACTGCCTTCCCAAGCGAATATTTCATGGGCTAACTAGAATTAAGCGTTCTTTTTTCTTATAGATTGACTTGGAAAATTAGTGCTTGGTGACTAGATACGCATCTCCTCGCGCGTCGTGGATGGTCCTTATCTTTTAAATGATTGTCAAGTCGGGGTTTAAAAGTTTATTTTGTTTTGTGAAATCATGTTTCTAGTAATGGATATTTCATGATAGACCGTGTTTGCAATATGGTCGAAATGTTCTTGCTTGTTCTTTCGGGTTGATTTGAGATTATATGTTGCTGCAGGAGCAATAGGCGAAGAAATATTCGATCAGTGCCGGATGATAGGGAGCTGGATGAGAAGACGAAGCATTTGTTGGCCCTTGAGAAAGTGAGCGGCAAACCCGAGAGATAACTTAAGGGAGTTATTTTGATATTATTTTTTGATTTACCTCTTCTGCTTGTTTTTATATTTATACTCGACAGCTAGACTGTGACCTTTCCTCTATGGTATGCCTTGCAGTACATTGTATAGTTGAAAGCGTATGAGGTTACCTTTTTGTGTTAAGTTATGTCACTTACCGAACTGATACTTATGATTTAGTCGCATACGTCACCAGCTGGCACCTTTAGTCACGAATGACGATTGTCTCTGTGAAATCGCGTTCCACCTTTTGCCTTACTTGTATTTGTCATACTCGGCCTCACTTGGTGATCTTTCGCTCTTATCTGGGGCAATAAACGTTATAGTGAATGGCAATAGACTTCTTGAGGCAATACAAGATCTGTGATCTACAGGGTGAAGAAATACCTTTTTCAATGGTTTTTGGGAGATACATTAGTACGAAATTGGATAGATTCTAACATTTGCTATATAGCTTGACAGAACGTCAGTTCTCTGACTACATGCTTCCGACTTTCTTATGCTAGGAACGACAAGATCTGCTTGAGTCTTGGCGAGCGAAAGCCAAGGTTAACGGCAAGGGACCTCCAGTGAAGTCGAATCGACAAAATCGTCACATGCACATAAGTGATGAACTTCTGGACATGGATATAGATGATATTGCAGAAGAGGGATTCATTCTGAACAAAGCACGTGCTGATAACGAGGAACCTGTCCGAATTTCCCCGCACATATCTGCGGTCTTAAGACCTCATCAGGTATGCTTTACTTTTGTCTGTGTGAGGCTTCTGTCGTTTTAAAGTAGCATCTATACGATACTAGTTTGGTTAACTTATGTCGGATAGGTGTGGAGACTGCATGAACCCGAGCTTTTTGTCCAGCAAGGCAATGATATGTGTTTTCCTCTGGACTTAATTTCATATAGCAAGTGTATATATGAAGTTATTAGAAGATTGAGAACTGTGGCTAATATCACTTGCATAGTAGGTCGTGACATTTAGTTCCAAAGAGTTCATGTTAAGTGTATCTGAGTGTAGTGGTTGCTGACCTTCTCTATTATTTGTGTGTTTTTTTGTCAGTGGTTCACAAGTTCACTGTTGGCTAAGATACCACTTAGGATATTAAGTCGTGACAATGCATAGTTTATTCTAGTGGTATGATGAAATCGCATCTAGTAAATCTCCTCAATATATTCTTTTTGTTCGTAGAAAAATTGTGCCGATTTTGTTACTTATGAATGGAGTGACAGCTGGCAGGCATGCGTTTCATGTGGGAGAACTGTATCGAGTCGGTCAGCAAAGTTAAATCTGGTGTTGATGGACTTGGTTGTATACTCGCTCACAGCATGGGTCTCGGCAAGACTTTGCAGGTATGGTTCCCATTCGATTTTCTTCGGTTCTCTAGATTGGTTACTATGCAATCCTTATGTCAGGAGAACAATGATGACTTTCTGCCACGAGTATCAGTACCTGAAGTGTCTATTTATCTTGATATTTCATATTTTTTAAAGGTTCGTATAATTAATAGACCTCAGCGTTGACCATTGAACAAATACTAGCGGAGTGGAGTGCCTTGGTTCTTTGATAGTATTTACCTTATCCTTTTCTAAAGGTGGAAACACATGTAATAATTTGGGTTTATTTCTATATTGACTGTCATCACAAGGACTTGTATTGTATGGGTAGCGTTGTTCTTGTTGGTGTGTGATTACTTGTATTGTGTTTGGTTCTTGTCTGCTGCAGACGAAAGTATCGTTTACTGCTCCACAATGACACATGCATTATCTTTATGAATCTTGAATCTGAGCGCATTGAATTACAGGTTATAGGTTTTGTACACACAGTGTTGAAGAAGGTGGACCTGGGTCTTAAAACAGTGCTGATTGTCGTCCCAGTCAATGTATTACATAACTGGCGAAGTGAATTTCACAAGTGGCAGCCAGGAAATGAGGCTCCAGTTCCTGTTTATATGCTTGAAGATGTTGCGAGGTCAGTCTTTCAATACTTTATTATGTATTTTGAATGTGTTTTGCGTTGGTCGCTCAGAAAAGATGCAGAATATCGCTCTCAGCTATTCAGCAACTTAGCATTTTAATTTCGCCTTTTTGAGACTTGTTTTTATTGAATTTATGAATGGCATTCAGTAATTGCTAAAATTGTTTTACAGTTTGATGACTCTAGCAATCATTTCTTTTAGCTTCTGTTTCAGAGAACAGTGTGAGAACTAATAAGTATTTGACAATATTTGTTCCCAGAGATAATGTGAATCGAGCCAGGTTGCTCGGTAAATGGCAAAGATGTGGTGGAGTGATGCTTATTGGTTATACTGCATTTCGCAATTTGTCAATAGGCAAAACAGTCAAAGATAAAATTGTGCGGGATAATTTATGTACTTCTCTTCAGGTGATTTTTATTGCAGTACTTTTACACAGTTATTTAGAATTCTTTCAATATCCTTAAGTACATCATATTTAGTGATTTAACAGTACACGTACTTGGTATTTATTTTCGGTGTGGCAACTTCTGTTATTTAAAGAAGTGGAATTGGCAGACTCTCATGCGACAAGGAGTTCCAAAACGTAAAATTTGTGTTCTAGCGTTGGGCACTTCTGCATCGCTAACGGTTGAATTTGTGGGTGTAAATTTCAACCAGGATCCAGGACCAGACATACTTGTATGTGACGAGGCACATATGATTAAAAATCGCAAGGCTGATATTACACAAGCTCTAAGGCAAGTGCGAACGCATCGTCGCATTGCTCTTACTGGATCACCTCTGCAAAACAATTTGTTGGAGTACTACTGCGTAAGTGTTGAAGATTACTCTTTGCAATTCCTTAAATACTACTGGGAGTTGCTCACTATTTTGTATCTCTTTTGGAAACAGTCTCAAATTCCAGCTGCATTTTTGACATCTGTTGTTTATTCAAATTGATCGACAGCTCGATCATATGGTTTTTACTTTGTACATATGCAAAATGTAACGTCTCTTACTCTGAAAGTTCATGTTGAGTGCAGATGGTTGACTTTGTTAGGGAAGGATTTTTGGGTCCCGCTCTAGAATTTAAAAGAAGGTATTACTGTTGTATTTATACACACACTACTTCGCAAATTTTAAAACATTCTGGTCTAGAAATAGCGACTTCTTTGATTTCATCCTAAACTGAACTTATCTATCTTGTCGCTCTTAGAGATCAGAGAAAATGTAATAAAGACTTGAGAGTGTTAAGAATGGAATGTCTGCCAAGTACTTAGTTACACCAAGCTGCGTGTTTCCGATGTTTTGTTTTTCTGATGCTTTGGCTTCTTGTATCATATACTTTCAGATTTCAAAATCCTATAGAGAATGGTCAGCGAGCAGATTCAACATCGAAGGATGTGAAGCTTATGAAGCACCGTGCTCATGTATTGCACAAGCAGTTGATGGGTTTTGTGCAACGGAAAACTATGAGCGTCTTGAAAGACGAGCTGCCATCGAAATGTGTGTATGTCATTTCAGTCAGGCTCTCTCCTTTGCAAAGAGCCCTGTACTTGAAGTACTTGCAGATAAATGGTTTCCTCAACAGTGGATTGAATGAGAAACAGGGTCGCCGCAGCATTCTCTTTGAGGCTTATCATACATTGGCAAAGGTGTGTTTTGTTATTGTAATCATGCATGTTTCTTTATTATTACTTCCCAAGTTGTTAAGGTGTCTATTGAACCGAATCGGGTTGATTTACCTGGTAGATGTTATTAGTATACTTCTCAGACACTGCTTTTAGTTATTTTATCTTACAACTTATCTTTCATGGCAGATATGGAACCATCCAGATTTGCTCATCTTAGCCCAAGAAGAGAAGAACTTGCGCAAGGAGGACAATCTCGAGAATTTTATCGTGGATATTGATGATGACGTTCCTGAGGTTCCTGAGGTTCCTGAGGTTGTTGATGCTGGTCACAGTGTGTATGATGGAGTCATTGTTATAAACGATGACAATGGTGATGATGAAACAGCCAAAGGTGGGTATGCACCCGACGGTTGTCTTAAGCTTGCTACTTTTCTTTCTTTGGTTTATGTAAATTTTGGTTTGTTGACATTTCGAGGAGGGAATGCAGGCTCTGTGGAAAGTAAAAACAAACCAGCAAATGGTATTCGAACTGTTAGCCGAGGAGATGGCTACCAGGAAAATGTAAGTTTCAAGTTCCATTTGTAAGTATTACTTTTCTAAGCTAAATGTTGTGTTCGTTTGTAAATTTGTAACTATATTGCGTCATTGTGGTGCTACAGAACTTGACTTCTGAAAATCCTACTGGGTTGTGTAGCAGGTGGATAAATCAGGATGGTGGAAGGACCTAATTGACGGCCAGCAGCGTGAAGTTTTGGAGTTGAGTGGTAAAATGGTAATCTTGATGAAGATTTTATCGTTAAGTTCTGTGAAATCGGACAAGGCCCTCGTCTTCAGCCAATCCTTGCACACACTTGACCTCATTGAAGTTTTCTTGGCAAACATGCCATGCTTGAATGGCTGGAAAGGAAATTGGGTGAAAAATCGTGATTGGTACAGGTATGTTGGACTATTATGATCCTCAACCTCATCCTTAGTGTTATACGGTTGTTTCAACCTTTCTAGTAGCCCAAAATGAAAACTTTCCCGTACTGTCTATTTGGCTGTTATAAGATACATGCTTATACGAGTGCTCTCTCTGTGGTTTTCTGAACTTATATTAACCACTTTTCCTGATTGCTTAGGCTTGACGGACAAACATCGGCGAAGTCTAGGCAGGAACTTGTGGAAAGGTTCAATGACCCGGATAATACTTCTGTGCAATGTGTACTCATCTCCACAAGAGCAGGATCTTTAGGGATTAATCTTCCTGCCGCCAATAGAGTAATAATTTTTGACGGCTCCTGGAATCCGACCCATGATTTACAAGCTCTCTTTCGAGCATGGAGGTGCTTTCTCTATCCAAAACTACATAAGGATGTTTATTAGAAGAACATATGCGCATGAAATACTAGTCATTTGGTATGCTGTGTTGAGTTGAGCTTTGTTGATTGCCTGAAATTGTTTGAGTTGACGTCTCCATACGCTCATCACGAGAGATGTTCTTGTAGGTTTGGACAGAAGAAGAACGTGTACGCCTACAGACTTCTGGCTTCCGGGACAATGGAGGAAAAAATTTACAATCGCCAGGTACGTCCTGACCATTACGCTTAGTATCTGAAAAATGAACAGGCTACATTTCAATGAACAATAGTTTAAGAAGGCGTGTATTCGAGAGATTTCACTGCTTTTGGCAGAGCTGACGAGACTTTATAAGAATGTCTCTTTTATGATGAGGTTACTGTGTACGCCATAGGAACAACCCTGAGAAGTTCAATGCTTTCCGAGTGAAAAAATGGATATACTCTTGAAATCATGTACATGAAATCGGAAGTTGAACTGAAATTACTTGTATGCTCTGCAGTTATCAGAGCAAGTTGCGACTTGTATGGATTTGTTTCTTGCGCACTGCTTGATTGTTCACTGTGTTATATACTTTCAGGTTGCGAAAGAAGGTCTGGCTGCTAGAGTGCTTGACGAGCACCAGGTCGGAAGATATTTTGTTGAAGATGACCTGGATTTCTTTTTTGTACTTGACCAAGATGACTATCCCGAGATGGAGGATTCAGCATACACTGATCCAAAGCAGCAAGATATTCAAGTCGTTCAGAGTATGGACCAGCCCTCCACATCAACGGCGCTTGTTCCAGCGGAAAAGATGGCTTCAGCACCGCCACCAGGAAAACCAAGGCGGGCTGCATTTTCTGTTCCAGATGATGCTCCACCCCGGGATGATATAATGGGGAAGCTTCTCCTGGAATACCGTCCTCAGTAAGTTTGTGGAATTTAGATGGATTACATATCAAGTAATGTTAAATCAAACTAATGGTATGATGTACATCTTGTCCTGACAATGATAGTGGTGTTAAAACCCGATCGGATTGGTGATGCAATACTTATTAGTTAATGATAATGGTGTGCAGGTGGATTGGAAGGTATCATGAACACGAACCCTTGCTGGAAGATTTGGAGGATGAGAAGCTTTCAAAAGAAGAGCAAACTATGGCGTGGGAGTCCTTTCAGCATGAAGAATCTGTTCCACGAAGTCTCGCATCTTCAACCCCTTCAGTGACCAGCATGCCTTTCCAACCAACAAATGTTGCATCAACTTACAGCTTCTCATCTGTACAGTCAAATCCTCTCTCCCAGCCGCATCTTGTTGCTCAAAATTATGTGCCTGCTCATGTAGGCAGCGTTCCCTGCACAAATAAAACTCATGCCATCCAACTCAGAGATGAGAAAATCAGTCTAGGAAACAGCACCGTTTGTAAAAATTGCCACGAAAAAATTGATTGGGAATCTATCCAAAGATCATAGTTCACCTAAATCTTAGTTTTTGCATCCTTTAGAATTGGTAAGCTTTAAGGTTTTAGGATTATATTTTATTTTTTATGAAAAGTAGGATTTAGATTGGGTGAGCATTTCTGGAGTTAAGCATCTTCCAGTTTTTTCTGTTAACTCGAAGTAATTATTGCGAGCTTTCCCCCTCCTCCCCCACCCGGTACAAGTTGTAAACTTACAATTGGATGGCCGAGGCCTCTTTTATAACATGCCGTGTTTGAGATATTGAGAGTCAGTTTGTATTTTACAGTCCCTCAAATCATCTTAATAGCTAATGGTATATGAAATACTAATTGCTTAGATAACAGAGACAATTTTGTAGTGTTCTAAAGGTGTACGCATTATTGTCTGTCAGTAGTTTTTTAAAAAGGTGATTGGACACCATGCTCATAAAATATATTTGTGTCTCCTAATTGGAACAGTGCATTTGGACAGGAACCTACAACTGTAAATTTTGAAAAGTTGATTAATTAATTTTTGATATATGTGCAAATAGCGATTCAAATTGAACAATATCCCAATCTATTTGCAATTCATAATGTCCATCAGTACATGCAAAACTACCATCAGTGACATGAAAATAATCTATCTTTATATCCATGCTTCATTCTTGAAAATTTGTTTCTGCATTTGCTGGGTTATATCTTCTGCTTGAGCATCAACTAAATCGTTGTCATCTCATCTACCATTGAACACATCGAGCTAGTATTTATTACGAAACTAGCAAGGTCAGCCTGAAATTGGCACCAATGCCAACTTAGTCTTTGATTGTAAGCATGCGGATTCAAATGCAGTTTCCACAAACAATCGCTACTGTGCCAATATTAAGAAGAGCTTAACATCCCTCCTTAAGCTTCAACAATTCAGACTGCAAACCCTTACATGTAGCTTGTAAGGATGCCACCTCTGCTTCCAATTCCCTGATCCTTTGCGAATCGACGCTGTCTGTTGCCGGTTCAGGAACATAAGGCGTCGTCAAATTCCTTGAAAAAGACTTCAAGGATTCTACCCCCCGCACTTCCTCCGGGAGAAGAGGCAATTTAGTGATATTGAAATCCTCGTACAACTCATGGAACTGGTCGAGATACTTCTGCTGCATCCGCACGCGAGCTTGAAGCAGCTTGGAGTCGGATACGTCTGGTTGGAAGAGAACTTGATTGATGATGATGTTGTGAGTGTCGATTTCGAATCTAGCAAGCTCCTGAACCAGTCTCTCAGTTTCATACAATGACAGAAACTCAGGTATACACACGCAGATGAATGTGGTCATATCTGGGTTCCGAAACTGATTATTGACCTGTCACAAAACAATGGCATCGGATTACTCGTCGTGATGTTTCATAACTGATCAATTCCTCTTCCACCACACCTTACCATTGTAGAGGACTTTCCCCATCGCAGCGAGGAAATGCTTGTGGGTCCAGTACACTGGCAATTTTCAATAGATTCATGAGGGTTCTTATTCACTTCTTGTCAGAGAATTGTTATAAAGCGAGCAAGGCAGGAGTATGTAACTCGAGACAGATGTAAACTACTGGAATAGCAAAAATAACGCCTTTACTTCGTGACATTCCGATGGAGGTTGTGCGATACTAGCACAGAAATTGCTAAAGCAGTAAGGAAAATGGGAGAAAATCTGCGATTAGGATGTAAGGACACGCACCTGCTCAATTACCGCCTTGATATTCTCCACCTTCCCTAACAACGCATCCTCCCCGAATTCATCTCCGGCTCCGAACATGCGGGAAACCTGGCTAATCAACCCTCCAAACTTATTCTTCAAGCTCATCACCTTCTCCAGACCCTTCTCCAACGTGGAAGGGAACTGCAAAAGCCGAAGCGTATGCCCCGTGGGCGCCGTATCGAACACGATCACGCTGTAATCCATGGTCTGGACCAGCTTCAGCATCTCTGCGAAGCTCATGGCTTCATCGATTCCCGGAATGGCATTCGCAAGCTCCGACACAAACCCTCCCATGCCCAACCCATTAGCCTGGTCCTCCAGATCTTCGCTTTCCACGGTGGGATCAACTTCCATGGCGAACAGATTGCCGAATCCGTTAACCATGGACGGCGACTTGGTAAACTTCTGGCAGAACGCATCGCTGAGGTTGTGTGCGGGATCCGTCGAAATGAGCAACACAGATTCTCGCACTTGAGCTAACAGAACCGCAAGCATGCAGCTACAGGTCGTCTTGCCAACGCCTCCCTTCCCACCCACGAAGATCCATTTCAAATCCGTCTGCTCCAACACATTCTGCACGCTGGCCTCTGGCGCAGGCAGATCGTCCTCCGCCATAGCTAAGCCACCAAGCAAACCTAACTCACAAACTACCCCAAACCCAACAAACCCTGGTTTATCCTGCTCGATGGCTCTTCAACTGACCTCCACTGTCACTCCACAACCTACAAATCCGCAACGAGAATCCACAACACACCGCGGAGCAAAGTCGAAATCAAGGTTGCAAGCTCCTCCACGAAGCGCGTCGAAATTAGGGTTACAAGCACTCGTCGCAACTCTTTCCTCGTAATCTTTGCTCCACCACCATGGCACACCACTTAACATCAATAGAATAGAGAAGTTAAGTGACAATGTCTTTTTTTTTTTTTTTTTTTTTTTTTGTTTTTTTGTTTTTTACTCTGATCATGGTTTGCATTTCAATTAGTCTCTCCTCGTGCATTTAGTTGGCAAATTAATAGGGGATTACTCACGTTCTTTAGCTCATTATTTAGATGATTTGTATATTAACTGTCAAAATTTTGATATTTAGTTGTTGATGGCTGAGTTGTTTGTAGTAAATTGTTGATTTACTAAAGTTTATCATCTTCCTATCCCTATTCCATAAATTGTTGTAGAGAGTAAACTTTATTAAGTAATTGATATGAGTACTTGTGAAGAAATGTGGTGGAATTATAAAATATGTTTGATTGATTGATTGTAGTACATGTCTTATTTCTATTTCCAACTCTCATAATTTTGCAATTATGATTTGGATATTTTTTCTGGTGAAAATGCAAGAAACAAATTTTATTTGGATATGTAAATATATATTAACTTTATTAACTTTGATTATTTTTTACAAATAAATTGATTGAAAAATGCAACATTATTATTATTATTATTATTATTATTTATTAAAAAAAGATGGATATCTAATTATGAAAATTTCCATGCATATGTAGATAACAATGGATTTTATAGTTAGAAACATTTTTTCAAATGGATTTTTAAAATATTAGTGTTAATTAAAATTAAGTAATTCCTTGCATTTTTGTATATATTTTTTTTCTTTTTGTACATTATATAACTAGTACTATTTTAATACATTCTATTTTTAGAAAATTAATTTAAAAAAAACTTAGAACTAAGTATTTGATTAATCCATCAAAGAATATAAATCACTTAACTTAGCAAAGATGCTAATGGATACTTTCAACATACTACAAAATATATTGCAATATATTTTGTTTATAAGCAATTTGATTAATTATAACTAGAAAAGAAGAAGATTATATCCTTCAACCATCTTGTCTCAAATAATTGCTAATAAATTAATACTTAACTAGAAATTTAAGAAAATAATAAACTTTGTAGAAAATTTATATATAGATGTATTATAACAAATGAAAATTATGGTAAAAATAGCTATAGTTCTCTTGTTTAATCTTCTTTATTTTAAACCAATTGCTAAATGGTTTATTTTACCATCACAAGCTAAAGATTATTTTTGTCTGTAATCCAAATAAGTTTCAAGGCTGGTTTAATTTAATTTCAATTATTTTCTAAAAATCTATATTATTATGATAAAAAAATCAAAGTTAATAAAAATTAAAAAATTAAAAGTATATATATATATATATATATATAAATAAAATAAAGATTATGAAATTAAAAAAAATGAAGCTATATAAATGGTGTATTTAAGCTTATTATAACGTCTTTTATAAGTAATATTTGTATTTTACAGAATGTAAACATAATCTTTTACTTATATTTGTATTTCATTAAATCTTAAGCAAGAAAATTAATACTTACTTCTAGTTCAATTGCTACATATCAAGGATATGAACCACAAAAAAATTCTAAAAATAACAACATATTCTTAAAGCATCAAAAGAAAGAAAGTAGACAACTTAAAAATATATACATAATTGAAATTAGAATAGTTATTGCAAAATGCAAAAGAACTAGGAAATCTTGATCCAAGATAGAACACAAAAAGGGCATTGACAAATACCTTTAAATAATTATATTATGTATTTTATTATGTATAGTATTGATCTCTAACAATATTATTAAACATCAAGAATCTCTTCTAAGATTGTGGTACCAAACACATTATATATCACCATCTATTTAAACAAAAATATGCATCTCTTAAATATATTTATTACAATTGCAATATTGTCCAAGTTAAGACAATCTTAATCTAATAATCCAATAATTCTAGAAATTACAATTCTTAAGATAAATTTGCCAATTGTTGGTTCTCTATATTTGTAAAGGAATTCTACACACTCATTCTTGACTATGTTTCTCTTTGATATATACCATCTTGTTATTAACGATTAGTCTTTTTTTTTTTTTTCAATAGATGTTATTGATGAAAAGTAGAGACAAATTTTGAGGCATTTGCTAGTTTTTCATAAAGCTCATGTGTATGTTCACTAATATCATATCCACACCAATGTATGAGATATTCCAATTTGTTTTGGTAGTCTTGTTGTATTACAACATAACTATTAATTGAAAGAGAAAAATATGTATTATGTTATATAAGAGCTTAATTGAAAAATATAGTAGCAAAACAAAGGTAAAAGATAGGGATGTAGTAAAAACATTTAGTGCTAATACTTCATATTTGTAAAAATTGGCTTCTATTCTCTTTGTAGGGCCATAAACTAAACAAAAAAAAGTGGATTAGCAAAAATAATATTATGAGCATCTTTAGATAAAAGTAAATAGTATCTTCTAATAAAATTTACCTAAAAAAATTAGATATTGATACTTAAAAGAAGACTAATTGTAAACTTAGGTCAAAATCAAACTCCAAGGCACATAATTGCATATCTATGGAAATTGTGGGATTTTATTATAAATGGATGAAAAAAAATTAGAGAGAAAACTTTAATAAGTTTCTTTGAGCATTGATATTGGATGATTTGGACTATTATTGACTTTTTGGGAGCTTTGCAAAATAAGAGATATTTTAGGTGATTTGGGATTTTGAGAAGTAAATATGGCTTACATTTTTAAGAATATTTTGAGCATGATAGGAGATTTATATGTGAAAGTATAATACATCCAATACTCAAGAAAATTAGGAGGTTTTAATTCCAATTGGTATGTTTCATTTTTTTAAAATATTTCTATGCTTGCTATTAACTTATAGATTGAAATATGTGCAAATTTTTAAGCAAGATTATTAATTTAATTGATAGTTATTAAGGTTTTATAATTGCTATAGGAATTGGTTAAGATTGATTAGGATTTAATTAGGTCTTCATTAGGATTTTCTTAGGACTATCATAGGATTTGAATAGAATTTTCTTTGGATTTTATTAGGATTTTCTTAGGATTTGGTTAGGATTTGATTAGGATTTGATTAGGTATTATTTAAAATTTGGTGGGGTTTTACTTGGGATATATTTAAGATTTATTTAAAACTCATATAAGATCTTTTTTTTTTCCACCTTTTTAGATCTATATATTCATAATATAAATTAAAAGTTAAATTAAAAACAAGATAAATTTAATTTATATAAAATATACATGTTTTTTATATCTTTGTATATTATCTTATATCTTCCATTTTTTATCATACAACAATTTTTTTTTTATATTTTTTTTATTCTATTATTATTATTATTATTATTATTATTATTTAATAATTTTAATTATTAATCAATAAAAATTCTTTATTACATGTTCAATTTCAATTGGTGCATTTATTGGTCCAAAATATATAATATTATTTTTAATATATTAATACATTGTCTAAAATGTAATATTTTATACAAATTTTTAATGCACATTAAATAGTAAATTTTTTATTGATCTCTTTAATATATATTTTATTTATTTATTTATCTAAATTAATTAAATATAAAAATTATAATTAATTTTATTTAATGATTTATATTAGTAAAGGTATCATTATTTATTATTTTTTTTCTATAAAAGTAATATAATTGTAAGATATGATAATTTAAATAAAAAAATTAAATTATAAAAAAATGAAGTAAATATATTTTATCTCAAGAGTAGTTTGTTTAAAAAATCGAAGGTTTGAGCTTCATCAAGATTCATTAGTAGTATTTACAAATGTCTTAGAGAAGCCATGAGGCCTTAATTTTATCCTTCTACTTGCATCTAAGGTGCTATAATTCATATAAGATATGTGCACCTCCTTTCTTACATCTACTATACTAACTACTAGTCTTCTTATTTTTTTTATTAATAAAAATACTTTTTTCATTTTTTTACTTTTTCATGGTAATCAAAAACATCCAATTACATTGAGAACCTTGTCAAGTCTTCAAATCTTCTTCAATTTATTTATAATGATCTTCCAAAGTGGTAAAAATTATTTTACCAAAGTCTTGATAATTCTTCTAAAGAATCTTTAAAATATCCTAAATAATTTAAAATAAATCCTAATTTTTACATAATAATTTAAAAATTACAATATCAATTTTAGACTATTTTTTTACATTAGAGATTTTTATAGTAATAGAATTGATTTAAATCAACTAAAAATTATATTTTTTATATAAATAACTGAAAAAATATGAGGTTCTTTCTTATAATATATGTATGTAGAAGGCCAATGTAAACATCGGTCTCAATAAATAAATACTAATTTTTTCCATTAAGAAAAATAATCAAATCAATTAAAATTCTATTTTTATGATTTTTTCTCTAATAAAACTCTTGTAAATTATAAAATCTTCTAAATTCTAATAGATACTTAAATAATAAATTAGACTCTTTGATCTTAATATTTTTGTGGCTAAATAGGATCTATTGATGGAATTTACATATAGTGACTATCCAAGATTATTTGAAAAAAAAAAAAAAAAAAAAAAAAAAACTTTTGTCTTTGATATGGTTAATTAAAAAAATAAGTGGAACAAGTTATAAAATTTGATACTACAATTAATCAAAATAAATAAAATATAAGAAAAAAAATACTAAGACTTTGACCTTAAAATAAATAAATAAATAAATTACTTGTGTCTAATTCAACATGGTTCCATATATAGCAACTTATTGCTTAGTAACTAATTCAATATTAGATGGAATCTATATTTCTATCAAGATACAAATTAGAAAATGCATAATTATAAATCCATAATAACTTGATCCAATTCTATTAGCTACATTGGAGATGACCATGACTTAAAGAAAGAGTATTTAATAATACTTGCTACTTTTGCCTTGAGCCTAACTTCATAACACACTAAAGATAAAAACAACCTATAGGTTTGAATTGGAACAACTATAAAAAAGACCAAATATACAAATGTTGTAGAAAATATTCATATCTTATATTTTTTACAATAATTTTTATTAGTTTGTATAGAAAAATCTTTTTTATCTAAAATTTTGAGTTATATTGAATTTTTATCAAAGAATTCTTTGATAACATATATTCTTCTCTAAAAAGCATCAAGCTGAGTTAGAAATTTTAGTTTTGTAGTATCTTGGACCATCACACACATTCTTGGAATAAAAAGATATTTATTACATATATAAAATATCTCATTTCTTCTCATTTGAATAGTTTCTATATATTAGATTGAAAATCTTTGAGTTTCACTTAGCCCTTCTAAATACTCTAATTATTCATTCAATGATTGAAAAGTATCAAATCTTTTGTCAACAATAATGTGTAAGGATGGTACTTCAAGCTCTATAAATACAATGGTTTTTATTCTATATATCAAAGAAAAAAGAGTGGTCCTTCTAGAAACTGAATAATTACTTCAAGAAGTTCAAAGAAAAAATATAAATTTAAGATCTTAAATATGCTTAAATCCATTTTTTTTTTTTTTTTTTTTTTTTTTCAAGATCCAAAATACAATTTGGTTGATCCATTTTATAAGACTATTTATTTGAAGATGATAAGAAGTAGTTTATTTTATTATTTTATTTTTTTATGGTTGATGGTAAATAATGTGGTCATTTATTTAATAGCTTTATTTTGAAAAAATGGATACCATTGTCACTTGTAATTTTTTTTAACAACCAAAACTAGTCATGATGTTCTCATTCAAAAATATGACAATTTGTTAAGCATCTATCCTCTTGACCACTTTTGCTTTTGTCCACTTAGTTAAATATTTTGTAGCTACAATGACAAATTTTATTCTACATAAAGATGCATGATAAATGAATCTAATAAAGTCTATATTCCACTTATCGAATAGAGCAAGTAGAAGTTAGAGATTCAAAGATATTGCAAGATTTAAATCATTGTGTGCATGTTGTTGGCAAATATCACAAGATCTTGCAAAAGATATAGTCTAGCTTTCAAGCATCACCTTGAGTAATATATTTGAAACACAGAAAACAATCATAACAATCTTAGAATCCAAAAAACAAGAAAAAACCATAATAAGAATACCTACTGCAAGTGACTCCTTGTTCTCACATTGCTTACACTCAGTAGAACAATGTTAGGGCATGTATGTAAGAGTAGATTTGAGCAATTCAAAGAGCTGAAAGAACACACAATTATAAGGGTTTGGCAGCAAGTGTGAGGGGAAGTGAAGTGGGAGGAGAAGGCAAAGATATGTGGTGTGTTTGGACCCCTTCATGATGCAGATGAAAAGGACATTGATGGATTATATCACCCAAGGACAATTAAATAACCATGTGCAGTTGTGCAAAGTGCATGCATTAAATGGAGTTGTCTTACATGGCAACCTACTGAGCCCATGCTTCAAAGGGGATGATGCTCATGTCTGGGTCGAGTGCCATGAACTTAACGTTTGCGGAACTCGCTTCCACATATCCAGCTGCTGACGCAGATTCTCCTCTTGAATCCCTTATCATGTCCTCTCTGTTGCCTGTTTTCAATGCTTTCGCTATCCAAATCCAATGGACCCAGTGAAGATCTCACGGGAGGTCCAGAGTGAGCATCGGTGGCTGTAGTAGTTCCACCAGGATCAAGTCGATATAGCCCTTCATGCGATATCTAGATATGTAGATTTTTTGTCGCAAGAGCGATTCTAGAATGACCATTCTTTCAACTCTGTGTGTATTATTAGCAACTGCGGTCAAGCGGAGGCTAGCTGGGGAGATGGAATGGCCCTAGAGCGCCGTTATCGGCAATGCATGTTCCGAGGCTTTTTCGAATTCTGGGGATGTGTCTATAGCTTGTAGCTGTGTGTTTCTAGCTCATTTTTGTGCGTCTTAAAGTCAAATAGAAGCTCAGAGATGTCTTACACCTCCCCACGTGAAGGCAAAGTGGGTGTCCAAGAGCTCAAGCCTTCATGGATCGAATTCCATCTTTTATCTTCCACAAACACAGGGGTGGAATGTAGCATGCATGCCCCGAAGTGGAAAGCTCAAGACAATTTAGACATTGTCTGTTTCACTGAGTGGAATAGCTCTTCATTACTCCTGAAAATTGGTCAGTACAATTGTGTCATGATTTGGCAAAAATGCGATTGTACTTATTGTTAATTTTAGTGACTAATTTTAGAGATGTATCTAGATTAATTTTTGTCAGGAATGTTGTTGGAAGATCATGTTCATTCTTGAAATCGTGCAATAAAAATGAAGTGTTTGAATCATTCTTTTAAATCAAACATATTTCATTTACAACTAATACCCTCAAAACAAGTTGATTGTTGTGCGAAAGAATCAAATCTCAGTCGATCAGTTTTCCAATTTCAATTAGCGCCGAGTGAGAGGTTCTTCGACAGTATTCAGGAAGAGGATTCAGAAGAGCCGTTAAGATTCCCTGTCGAGTATGAATAAACAACGTGATCTCGGATACAAACTCCAGTTTCCTGTGAGATGAATGAGGTGATGGCACCTTTAAATACCAAGGATTTGCAACGACAATTTTCGATTTATGAGCTGTACACTGTCGGGTTGTGGCTCTTTCGCAAATAATATAACTGGAACTCCTCTTAATAAGAATGCTGGAGCCTAAAATAGGGCGGAATGTATGGTCAACACTAGTTCTGGACGTCTCTTGAACAACCGTCCAGCAGTTTGTGTTTCCATGAGTAACGAACAATGTGACCTCGTCTCCGTGAAATGATTTGAATCAAAAGCATGTTCACCGCAGCAGTCACTAACATGAAGAATTTTTACACGCCTCATTTACCAGTAAAAATTATTATCTGAACAATCGGCATGCATGTTACGTCGACCATCTAAAGTAACTTTCTAACAGGATTGTCTAAGGTCTTGATGAGCTTCATGCGGTTCATGAGTCCCTTGATCATTCATCACCCTCTCATTTCAGAGCTTGCAATAGTATATCCTCCGAGCCTCCTGATCAACGGGCAGAATCATTTCCAAGCCTCTTCATTCTACAAACAAGGAGGAGATTCAGTTCGAAAGTTTCATCTCATCTTTTATTTTCTAGGTCTTGCAGTAATTCAAACGCAGCAAAATTTACAAGGTACAGAATCCGTGAACTTTTTCTGGAACAAGTTGAAATAAATGTGACCTGATTAGAGAACCCAGTAGGGTACTGCGCACTGGAATATGCGTGCATGTGATGGTGGGCTTGATGCGAGAGTTGCCAGTTGGATGCGTTGGGCTCAGATTGGCCAGTGAACGTCTCGGCACTCCCTTCAGCGGCAGCACCACTGCTACTTGAAGAAGCGAAACCGGCGTTGGCCCCACCTTTAGATTTCTTCTGCTCATCATACTGGCCACTGCCTGAGCGTTCCAAGGCCATGTCGTGGATGTTCAACCCTCGGTTAGCTCCCACGAGGTTTAGCTGCCCAGCCAAATTGTGTAGGTTTGATTGGGAGCCAGACTGGGAAAAGAAGCTTGATGGACTCGCTTCGCTGTTGCTCCCCATCTCCCTACAGAGACAAATGCACCACATTGTCCCACAAGAAAACAATAAGCTCAGAGCTTGAAAGACTGGGGATTGTGGATGGACAACGACTATTAAAATCCCGAGAGGCATTTACCTGTTCATATGCTGCACTGGGACAATTGCTTGAGGGTTTGCATGCTGATCCATAAATTCTTGAAGCATCGAATGGCCGCACTCAGGATTGTTCCATTGCAACGGTAACGGTTGTTGCCCCAAGGTGTCTCGTTGCTGCTTTTGTTGCTGTGCTTGTAAAGCCAACATCTGAATGTAGCAAAGGAGTATAAGATATACTTTTATGAAGATGCATGACCCCTGACGTTGACTAAGTGGCATATAATTAATATGAAATACTGACATACTACCAGTTCAGCTGCACCTGTCTTTGCATCACAGAAACAGCCTGATAAGCACTTGTCACATAAGCCTGCAACAGACATGAACACCACCGTTAATATCCTTTTAAGCACAGGAGAATATGTCTGGTATATTCATGCAGTACTCACAAATTGCAAAAATGCGCAGTTTTGTGGGCTACATTACCTTCCTTGTCCGCACACGCTCAAGTGCCTGTTCTAGTTCAGTCTCCATGTTGGCTAGTTGCTGAACTGAAGTTACACTCTGCAGAAGCTGCTCATCTGCTAAATATAATCTGCGTGGTGCATCATCATGAGTCTAATTGTCTGCTTCCAGTGTGATTTAGATCTGAAATGTAATCAAAATAAGTCATTCATCTGACATGGGTGGCTGAAAAACTTTCTGTGTGACTGATTACCTGATTCGTTGTTGAATCAACTCCTTCTCATGTTGAGTCTTCTTCAACTCCTCTTGCAACAACTGCAGTCGAAAAAAATGCATTCATCATTAATTGATTAGAGGAGTTAAACCGAGTTCGAAACATCAAGTAGGCACACTACTATGAATAATGTCTCTACCACACAGAAGTTAGGACACTTGAGCAGAAGACGAGCTTTCGCTTACCTCAACCTCTTCGCTCTTACTGTGATAGTCCGCAAAGAAAACACAACCATGTCATGCCACAAAATTAAGTTAGTGAATGATTTTACTTAAACGTAGAACTGGATTCAAATGAACCGAGTGAAACATTTTAAATGTTTCTACATATTTATTAAAGCAAACCTTCACCGAAACAGAACATGCATCCACTTGCGCGGGCTGCGGTTCTAACCTTCCAGAGATGATCTGATTGGGAACCCATTCCTTCTCTCCTGTTAGCTTCCTCAACGCCTTTTGTAAATACTGCGCACACATATACACATTCAAAGTTTGAGCTTCGACTTTATATCAATTACAGTCAGTAGCGGAACCCGTCACGCCTGGTGCATCAGTAGCTTCCTCGAAGCTTTTAAAGCACCACGTACATGAATTGCTTACAGGCCGTTTCTACAGGACACGTAAAGAATTCTATATTATTTATGTGCACTGTGCAGTCGCGTAGCATAGAGAGGTCAAACGTACCTCGAGATTTTCAATCTTCCTGAGCAAAATCCAACGCACCCACAACAAAATAAGATGCCTTTTCAGATTGCAGTCACTGGAAGTTTGAGTGATGTGATACTCACTTGTGGGTGAAAAGAAGACTGAAGCACCAGTTTAAACACCCATCCTTTACTAGTGACTTCTCTACAAGGCAGCCAATGTACCGGTGTTGCCACACAGATCCTTAAGATTATTTCATCAAAACTGCTGACATTTCGCGCAAGTTAACACAAGTTTCCAGTACAGTTGCAAATTATTAAATTCAAATCAAATAAGATAGAAACTTCGCATACCTTTTGTTTCGCTCTTGCGTAGGCAAATTGGCAAAGCGATCGATGATATCTTCAATACTGCGATACAGAAACCACTTCAGCTCGACAGTTACGAAGATAAACTAGAAAAATGACAATCCCACACTCTTACCCTTCTCTTAATATCTAAGCCTCTGGGAGTCGATTCTAGAATTTCAGTACTCAGCTACATATTCCATTCTTATGGTGTCCACTTATCCTTAGAAGTAACATAAACGACGTTCAGAAATTAAACGTAGTTGAGGAATACTTTAACGGAACAGCGAAACAAGGGAATGATGATAAGCCAGCCAGTAGGATCTTTCCAAGAGAAAGGTAAACCGAATTGTCAACACCATGGTCTCTACTTAATTATTTGGAGTTAAATTCAAAACCCAATCGTCCGATTATTAGACATAAAACAGTTTCAGAATACGAGCCTGCATCAGGTTAGCACCAGGGGGCAGCTCAGAATTGCTGAATTTCTTGCAGAATTGCGATTCGACAAGGAATAGTCCAGAAACAAACCTGCAATTGCTGTACTGGGTGAGCTTCCCAGACGGCGAGAACATGATAAGTGCGAGGTCAATATCACAGAGCACTGACAACTCGTAGGCCTTCTTAGTGAGCCCATTACGCCTCTTGGAGTACGTCACTTGCCTGTTGGCAGAATTCTCGATCTTCTTAATCTCTAGCTTTACCCTGCCCATCTCCGCTTCCTCAGAGCCCAAATTTCGATCGAATTCTTCCCACAGACGGATTCGACCCTGCTACAGACAAGCGCAGACAAAAGAGGACAAGGTGCAGGCAAGCCTGAGCCGAATCTCACAACTAGGCCTCAGATCACCTAAAAAGACACGAAAAAAAACAAAAAAGTTTCGCGCTTTCAGAACAGTAACCAATCACACCAAGGTGAACAGCGGTCTTCAATCAGGTATTGTTCCCTTCCTCGTAGCAGCGGGGCGAATTCTCTTGTTCCCGCGGGCGCTTGCCACAAGGCACAAGATCCATTCCAGGAATGATCTAGGCAAACCGGACCAGCGTGCCTGCGCATCCACAGGCGCTAGACTGAACTGAAGCCCCCAAGTCTGCAAAAGACACGGTGGTCGTCGTCGTCTTCGTCGTCGTCAGGGTTGGCACCGGTCTGCGGCGATGCGAGGCGATTGCCGTGAGGGTGAGAGAGGTGAGGAGGCAGTGCCAGTGGTTGAACCTGGGCAGCAGGACAGCATCCACGCCCTCGCTGCCTGCTCCGCGCACCTTGTCGCCAATTCTTCTCCCCCTCTTGTGGACCCTCATCGCCGTGCCCTTTAGCTTGGGCCAGTCTCTGGGCCTTGGACTGCGAAGATGGACATCCTCGCTCACTTTCTCACTCACTGGCTACCTTCCTCGCCCGCCAGACGGCGAGGTGGCAAGGATTCCAGCTTGTGGGTGCGTTTTGTCTTTAGCAGGCACGAGGTCTTCGTCGCGAAAGTCGCGTCCTGGGCTCGAAACGGGCGCGCGTGAATCTGGACCCACCACGATGGCTTAGCATCGCGGTGGCTTGAACACACCTACTATTAGCTTTTTTGTCTATTTGGATATTGTTGTGGCCCCCGATTCCTTGTGCTTCGAATTCCCTTGGTTTCATGCTTCCTGCTGGCTGGTGTTGGACTCTTTGCTGCCTAGTTGGTTGCAGTTTGAAATATCCGTGTGTGGCCATATCTACAATCATGATGGGTTAGACAACAATTAGAATAATAATAGTAAAAAGAGTAATTAGTTGTGAATTGTGAAGTCATGCTATCGGATGATCAATGACAAGAATTACATGTCCACTTAGATACAAAAGTCCTTTGTATATGTGTGTATTTATATATATAGTGAATTGTTAAATTACAAAATTGAGCCACTTATTCTAACCATCATAAAAAAAACGTTTTTTCTACTATTGGATCTATATTGGTTGGAAACCAATGAAAATATAGTTGGATTTGCAACTAATGATGATGCATAGGTTGATATTACCAATATCAAATATATTTTTGGTAGCTAATAAATATATTTATATATATATATATATATACTAATTAATGTCCCTTATTGCAGTTAAAATATAATAAAAAACAAAAAAAAAATGTTGCCATGTTAGCCGAGTCCAAATCAAGTTCATTTGTGTTGTTGCTGCCACCATCAACTCGTCCTATTCCATCCCATTCCCTCCTGCCCTATCCTATCCTGACTTGGCCCAACCCATCCCATCCTATCCTAGTAATTAGGTAACTTGGCAATAATTGAATTAAACCTATAACTTGGTTTCACTATCCTATTGCTCCATCCAATGGAATTTTTTGATGCTTTAGCCAAATGTAGGTTGGTCAATTTTTATATATATATATATATATATATACTTTTGTTGATTTTTAGTAGATTTTATTTATTGAACATTACATTTTGAGATATTACATGGCACACATGAAATGTTGAAGATAAGGAAGTATAAACAATATAATTTAACAAACATGAGTTGAACATTATAAATTAAAACATTTATCAAATTTTTATTTTGAATTTGAGTGCTCTATTGAATTATTTTTGTAAATTATATAAAAATAAAAATAAAAAATGATTAAAATAAAAAATTATGTATTTAAAAGATTACTATTCTTATAAAAATAATACTTTTTATTCTTCAAAATTATGATACATAATTTAGAATAAAGTCTAATATATATATATATATATATATATATATATATATTTTTAAACACATATCAAATAATAAGCTCTTTGTAGATATATTTAAGTATCGATTTTAGCTCTACTTATTTGATGAAAAATTTTTAATATTAAAAATAAAGAATAATAACTTATAATGATAAATTTATTAAGTCTAAAGTAATCTATGTACATTTACAAAGATTAATTTTTTTTTTTTAACAAAGAAAATTGGTGCACCTTTAAGTATGAATGTTGGATAAAACCTTTGTAAGGTTTGTGTTAATATATGCCTTCAAAGCAATAAGTTCATTCTAAAATAAGTTATAAATTGGTCTAAAAGATGGTTGAACTCCTTCTTAAAGGTCAACTACATAGTCATAAGGTTGATGTTTTGACATTATTTCAATATTCTTCTTCTCAAATACATCTTACTATTTCTTATATTGTCGCAAGATTTTATTACATCATATACTTAAATGAATATTTATTGTTTTATAAATAAATAAATAAATAAATTTTTGCTTAAATAATTACCTAAGCTTCTATAATGAGAAATTTTATATATTAAGATATACAATTTTTTTTTATATTTTTTAAAAATGAAACAAGTTTAAATTCTAAACTATAAAATACCTACTTGTTACGAATATACATATTTATTTCAATAATTATCTATATGATTAAGTAGAAATAAATATAAATAAATAAATCTTATTATATCTTCTTAGAATCTTCATAGATGCTATTCTAACTTTATACATGTTTATAATTAATTGATAAGTTAGAAACTTAGTCAATAAGTTAGCCATGTATCATACATATTGGTAGCTTATGAAAGAAGCTAATTATGTGGCACTTATATGGAAAATTTGCCTTACAAGCTAAGACATGTGTTTAAAAAAGTCAACATGTGTTGGAGGTCCTATAGAACATCACTACATAGCTCCTAGTTAGAGGGTATATATAGAGATAAGAATGAAGCCTTCTTCATGCTTGTCAATACCTTTCTAGTCTTTAGTCTTATTTCAAGACTTTTTAGTCTTCTTAACTTTAGTAATAGTCATTCTAGTTCAATATATTATCATCTTTGAATGACTTTTTAATCTTTTTGAGTGACATCAAAGTATATTGAGTTTTCTTTCTTTGAGATTTATGTTCTTATTAGTTTGATAAGAATGTTAATCCATTGTTTTAATCTTGTTTTAGAAGTTAGTAGATTATTCTATTTCTATTGTTGTATTTTGAAGGTTGCAAAGTACCTATCTTTAAACAAATAGTTAAAATTTTTAATATTATTTTTTCTTTTAAAATAACAAATCACCCCTCTTTATAGAAATTTTTATTTGACATTAGAGATTATACATTATCTTCTTCTAATTTGACTTGTGAATTTACAAAGTTATTTGAAATAGAAGAAAAAATCATGGATACTATACTTCATAGAAGTGAAAATAGATTTGTAGCTATTACAAATTTTCATGATTTTATCAATAGTTTTAGAGTGGAAATTTTACACATCACCAATGCTAACTACAAAAGTACTATTCCTATGCCTATGGAAGAAGTCAAAAGTTTACACTAAGAAGTTGTGTAGTTGAGGGAAGCAAGTAGATCAACCTCATAACGAAATTTAAAAAATCTTGTTCTTGTAAGCACTAAAGATGCAAAGATTAGTATGCCTAAGAAGTTTAATGGAATAAATTCAAAATTTTGAAAATTTTTGCAACAAATTAAGCACTATTTAAGGTTGCATACTTTCCAATATCTTGATGGATTTACTCAAATTAGATTCATAGATGTATTTTTTTTTAAAAAGCTCCTTCTTGATTTGTATCTTTGATAAAAAAAGATTCATGACTCTTTTATAATTTGAATTCATTCTTAGAAGTGTTTATGGCCACATTTGGAGAAAGTGATAAAAAAAGAGTAATAGAAATCAAATCTTGATTTTTATAATAAGGATCACAATCACCCACCATATATATTGCTGAATTCCAAAACCTTATTTATAACGTAAATTGAAATGATAAAGCCCTTATTAATCAATTTTGATATGAATTGAAAGATAACATCAAAGATTTATTATTAATAATGTCAAAAGTAGATTCTTTAGAATAATTTATTACTCAAGTGATTGCATGCTATAATCGACTATTTAAAAGGCATCAAGAATAAAAATTTAGTTGGAGAAGATCAAGTCAAGTAATGATGGTAATTCCTAAGCTTTCAAAAACCTATTCATTAAGGCTAAAATCAATGCTAATTGATATAGTATGTTTCAAATTTTTCACTAAACAAAGTAAGATTCAATATCATTAAGAAGAGTTGTATTTATATTATGGAGAAGCTAAGTACATTGCTCAATATTATCCAAAGAAGCAACATAATTACAAAATGAAGAGCATGATTACCAAAGAAGACAATGTATCAATAAATAAAAATTTTCAACTATAATAAGGACCATGTAGTTGGAATCATGTGCAATACCTAATAAAAGTCTATTTCTCTACTCAGATCCTTCACCTTATTTTGCAATAGAGATATATATTTAGGATCCAAAAATCATAAATTCTTTGACTTATTAGATTCAGAAGCCTCAACTTCTTTTATAGAAAAAGACTTTGTCAAAAAATAAGAAATATTGTTAATAAAAAAAATTAAATTCATACATGTAAAAGTCATAGATAGTCATTTGTTGTCTTTTAGAGATTTTATCTATGAAACTATTCCTTTCAATGTAGCAATTAAGGATCATAATAGCATAATAATATTTAATGTCATAAGATCTTCCTTCAACTTAATTATTTTAGGATTATCATGGTTAAAAAATATAATTTTTAAATAAATTAAAATTCTTATAACTTTAATTTTTCTTATAGTTTAATCTAAAATCTTATTAGTCAAGTAGAAATACATAAATCTAATACATTCAAATTTTTACTAGCAAATATAAAAGCTTTCATATATGCTACAAAAAAAGTTCATCTTTTGCTATATATGCCACTTTATTGTTGATAGTGGAAAGATATCAAGTGGTATTTTTAGTTAGTATCAAGATTTCTAAGACGTTTTTTAAAAAAAGAATGCAGATATTCTTCTAGAACATTGATTCTATGATTATTCAATTGATTTGTAAGAAAGAACTCAACAACCATTTAGATCTATTTATACCTTATCATAGAAGAAGTTGGCTATAATAAGGGATTGTATTAATGAGAACTTAGCTAAAAACTTCATATCCCATTTAAAATTTCTAATAGGAGCTCTTATCTTATTTCTGAAGAAAAAAGATTGATCTTTGCAAATGTGCATAAACTATCAAAAACTTAGTAATATCACCATCAAAAACAGATATCTTTTACCTTTGTTTTTTGGACTTCTTGATCAATTCAATCAAGCAAAGATCTATACAAAAATAAATATATAAAGAACATACAATTTAGTCTCTATTAAAGAAAGAGATGGATATAAGACTACTTTTTGGACATTTCAAATATAATATCATGTTTTTTGGACTCACAAACATACCAATTACTTTTCAATATCTTATAAATGATAAATTTTTTGTATTTTTTAATAATTTTATTATCTATTATTTGATGATTTTTAATCTATTCTAAAAACAAAAAAAAAAAATGAATTTCATGTTTGTTGTATATTACAAAAACTTAGAATTAAATG